TTTCTAGTTTCTTCTACTGCATGCTGATGGCCATGTTGGAGCGGACCTCCTGTCGGATAACATCTCTAAGGCGCTATGAACCATATGACTAGTAAAACTTCAAACATACAATACTGTTCAAAAGTTTGAAGTTGGTATGATTTTTTTATGTTTTTGAAAGAAGTCTCTTCTGCTCACCACTACTGGATTTATTTGATGAAAAATACAGTAAAACAGAAATATTGTAAAATGTTATCACAATTTAGCTATTTTCTAAGTGAATATATTTTAAATGTAATTTATTCCTGTTATCAAAGCTGAATTTTCAGCATCATTACTACAGTCTTCAGTGTCACATGATCCTTTGGAAATGATTCTAATACAGTGATTTGCTGCTCAAGAAACATTTCTGATTATTATCAATGTTGAAAACAGTTTTTGCTGCTTAACATTTTTATGGAAACAATGATACCATTCAAGCATTTGTGGTAAGATCCAAAAGAAAAGAAATAAATACTTTTATTAATCAAGGGTGCAATAAATTTATCAAAACTAACAGTGAAGGCATTTATAATGTCGGAAAAGATTTCTATTTACTAAATTATTTAATACATTTAATAAATGCCGTTCATTGAACTTTCTATTCAACAAAGAATCATGAAAAATGTATTCCCATTTCCACAAAAATGCTAAGAAGCAAAAACTGCATTCAACTTACTATTTTAATAGTAAGAAATGTTTCTTAAGCAGCAAATCAGCATATTAGAATGATTTCTGAAAGATCATGTGGCATTGAAGACTGGAGTAATGATGCTGAAAATTCAGCTTTGGTCACAGGAATAAATTACATTTTAAATATATTAAAATAGACAACAGTTCTTTTAATTTGTAAGAATATTTTGCAATATTACTATGTATTGTAATACTCTGTATAATACTCTGTATTCTTGATTAAATAAATGCAGACTTGGTGAGCAGAAGAGGTTTTTTGTTTTTCATTGTAATGTTTCCAAACTTTTGACAGGTACTGTACAGTGCTGTATAGTGCTTATATTGCTAAAATCCATTAATTAGATAGATTTGTGGCCCAAGATGCTGGGATAGGCTTCAGTCCCCACGACAGCGAATAAGTGGTTTGGAAAGTGAATAGATAGATGGATGAACTTGCAAGATAGCACTTTGACTTGTTTTGATTCTAATTTTTCTAATTTTTCATTTCAAGTACTGATAGGTCTTTATTTTGACTGTCTGGATGACATGCTGTCCTAACACTAACCAGTCAGAGCTCAGGTACCTCCCAAAATGCTGAACTAACCAATCAGAAAAAGAGAAAAATATCATTGAGTAGTGTACTCGAACTGAAAGCAATGATCGATTATGAAAATTATGATTGCAGTGACTTTAAAACATATGATTGATCATCGCTGTCAAGTCTGAGTGCTCTAGTACTCGTGCACATCCTTATTAAACACAAACACACAGTATGGAGGTATGATGTATAATGCATTGATGTAAATGTTTTAATCATAGGCCTATATCTTGTAAAGTCTTGTTACTTCTGGATTTTCTTTTTAGTTTCTAAATTATTTTATGAACAAACCTATTAAAGAAAATGTATAGTATGATAAATGTGAGGATATTGATCTGGAAGGAATGGGGACATGAAGAACCTTTTCATCTGTGGTTCTTTGTAGAACCTTTAAAAAGGGTTCTTTGTAGTACCAAAAAAAGTTATTTACGGCACCAAGAAAAATGGTTCTTCAGGGAACCAGAAAAGTTTATTCGATTGGATCGCTGTGAAACCCCCTTTTTGGTGCTTCCTGGTACCCTTTTTTAAGAGTGTATGAGCTTGCTGACCCTTACGAAAAAGAAGTTTATTCAAGTGTGCTATTAGTATACTTCTTTTAAACTAAAAAATAGGAAAGTATACTTTTAGTCTACTTTTTATGTACTTCTCAGAAATATACTTCAAATGACATTTAAGTATACTTGACTTATACTTAGAAAAAGTCTAAATATATTTTAGCTATAACTGTGCTCCTATAATCCGTGTTTTCATTGTTATACTGTAGGGGGCGCTAGTACACATCTTCTATACAGAATTTCCAAAAAACACAAGTGAAGAAGAAACCGAAACAACAGATGCTTCTACATGTGTTCTAACACGGTCATCAGACATAAAACAGTATCAAAACTGTGCAACATTATGGAATAAAATGTCGACCAATGAAGAGGTAATAATGACTGTCAAGCTTTGGGGTGTTGATCGACT